CCCCTGTCTTCCTTTTATCCCCCATTTTCTTTTTCCTCCTCCTTTTGGCTTGCTGGTTCGTCAGCCCCTCCTTCCTTGCTCTCTTCCCTCCTTGCAGAACAAGATGGTGAAAGGCAGCCTCAGCACAGAGCAGTCGGAGCGGGGGTGAGGGGGGAAGTGTACTCCTGGGAATGGAAATAAAAGCAAGCACAGGTGAGTTGGGGAGAGTTTCTGGTTCCCACCTGCCTTTTTCTGGGGCTCCTTACCTCCAGTGCCTTCCCTGTTTCTGTGAGAAATCAAGGTGCTCTGGTATATATTCAGAAGATTTGTAATAACTTTTTTTTTTCCCCTGCTACCATTCTGTTCAGGCTAGTGACTTCACTTTTTTTGTATTTCCACAGCAGTTCCTTCTGTTTAGCAGTGAGGCAAAGCAAGTCTCTTAAATTTTGCATGTAAGGAAGAATTAATAATACTGATGAGTTCAAGATTATTGTAATCTGGATTCTCTTTTTTTCTGGAAATGTAAATACAGGGATAAGTAAACTAATCTTATCAGGAGACAGCTGCATTCCTTTCAGACCAGCATTTTCCTCTATTTTGCAAACAGACATGGGTGATAGAAGGTGGAACTATATCCACAAGTGGCCACAATTTCCTAAGTCTGTGGTGTTTGCTCTGGTCCCTTACCTCCCCTCGCTCTGGATCCAGGGTGCTGTAGTTGCCGTAAGTCAGCGTAAGCCAGCAGGGCTGTGGAAAGCAGCAGTTGTGCTCTGGCGCCCCAACTCCCCCACTGCTCTTCCTTCCTGCCTCCGCCTTTGTCTCGTCCCAGCATTCATACAGCCGTGTGTGAGCTTGGTGGGGAATTCAGTTTGTCTGAAACTGCGTTTTCTCATGTTAGCATCTGAGTTGGGTCATTTTCCTAATCTGGTTCACCGTGTGGCTGGGCAAATATCCTGGCACAAGATGGGAGTAGCACAGATGTGGGAGTTAGCACCCAGGGAGTGGGATGAGGTTGGGATTTCTTATTTCATTTCCACCAAGTGTGTTGCCATTCGGTGGCAACAGGGAGGTGTAAATGAAATAAATGTTTGGTTTCAAATTAATACTTATTGGCACCCTTTCCCATAAACTGCAGCCCAAGAAGGTCTCTTGCCTTCATTTCACTGTTCAGTTGCATTTCTTACTCGAGCTAGTTGCTTCTCTTTTTCTTGCAATCATGCAGGTGAAGTTGCTCTTTCATGTCTCTTCTCTGAGCTGATTATAACAGTCCCCTTCCCTCACTGCTGTTCCCTTGCTTCCCAGGCACCTCCCTTACCTTAAAATCTTACCTGTTTCTTGAGTTAAGTAATTGTGAAGTGCTTTTAATGGTGTTTTCTCTGAAGGATGAGAGATCAATTGGAGAATTCTGTTTTTTAGTGCAGTAGCAGAAGACAGGTAGTGTTTCATGTAAACACTTTGTAGACCGACTGCTGACTTGGTTTAGCTCTGCTGTGTTCTGTGGTTTTTCATTTTTAACAGCGTTCTTTCTTGGCTTTGGAGTGTTGTTAAAACAGTTACCATGCAAACAGTATTTAAAGTTCATTGTTTGAGTAACTTTTTCCTTCCATGGTAAAGGTCATTGGGATTCTTTTAAGTTTTTCTCTTTTCCTTAAAGTGTAAAAGGCAATATAATTCATTTAAAACGGGATGATAGTCTCACAGACAGGGCTGTTTAACACTAGAGAAGTCTTCTCAGTGATGGGTTTTTTTGGGCCATTTCTTTAAGGTGCTGGTGAACGTTACTATGTCCCAGAGACCTTTACACAGCTTTGTTTCTTGCATTATTGTCCAGTGCTAACTGTTTTTTTATATATCGTAGGAATGTATTGGCTTAAGACCTTACAGGCTGTGGAATCTCTGCACCATGTTCACTGTGTGCTCTAGACATCTCTCTTAAGGCATCATGCTTTCCAAATTCACTTTTCCCTCAAGTAGTTCTTATCTGAAGGTCCTATTTAGCCTCCCCCTTTTGTTGCTGAGAATGTCTTAAAGATTAAGTTCTCCAACCTGACCACGAATACCAAAATGAAAACTATGCAAATCTAAAAGATCCCATTATTTTTAAAAAGAACTTAAAAAATAAAAAATTGCTGCATTACTGTGGTAATAAAGACGTTTAGAGGCATCTTGTAGCAGTGTTGGTAGTACAGGAGCTGCCCTTCTGCTGGCCTTAGTGTAAGACAGAATGGGCACTCAGCTGTTAGATTATTGGGCTGTTTTAATCCTGGTTCACTCCTAGGCCCAGCAAGTTAAGAAAAACCCTGCATCTTGGATAACATCCAGGCAAGTCAGTGTATTCTGTCTCTGTTGCTTCTCTCTCCCTGAGCCAGTTGCCTCTAGAACATTTGGATCAAATCCAGATCTGGAGAGTGACTGTGAGAGTAAGTCTGGTGCTCTGGATCTTGTCCAGGAATGGGGAAGGACTCTCTGTGCGGTGAGCCTGTTTCCTCCCTGAGGCAGTGCCTAATGCTCTGGACCGATTCCAGGCATGGGCAAGCTGCAGTTGTACAGGAGCCAGAGACAGCAACACGGCCTTGACACTCCTTCAGCAAGGGCTCACAGTTGCACAGTAATGAATGCCACAAAGGTCAGCTGCCTGAACTCTCTAGGAACCTTCCTCCTTTCCTCTTTAGCTGTAGCTCCACGGCTTACCCGTCTGTTTTTCGTACGTACTCGCCTGACTCTTTCTTCGCTCTTAGCCTGGCACCCCTGTACGAGGGGATATTTGCAGCCAAGAGGTAGGCTTGCTGGGATGTAATCTGATTGGTGTGCTGATAATCAGAACGGCATTGACTTCTGTATCACACTTAATTAAGGTTCCTGGAGTTTAATTGCCAGCTATGAATGAACATGGGTGTTACTTCGTTCCCAGGCACATCTCTAATGCCGTTAACCACTTTCCATATGTGTCACTTAGGTTGCGAGCTTTTTTCCTTTTCCCAGGCTCACTAGCTGGTGGGGAGGGATTGATCTAAGTTATATCAAAGGGTTAACCTTACTAAATAAACAAATTGCTTCTGGGCTCACTTGTGTTATGGGAGAAGGGAAGAAAGGAATATATTATTTCAAGCTTTGCTTTCTCGGCTGTGCAAATTAAGAATGAGAACTGTGGCTTAGAGAAATGAAATTTTAACTTTGTCTACAGTTTCTCTTTTGACCTGAGCCTTCACCAACTTAGCAAACTCCTGAAGTTGATTTTCTCGCCTCAGAGAATTTCTGGACAGGGAGAACGAGCGTGCCAAGCACTTGGACATTTCCACATTTGTCTTGAAAGACATCACAAGCTTAGTCCTTCCATGAACTGTCACCACCACCACCATAATCTGACAATTAGAACAAAAAAGCAACAGAAAGAAATATTACCTGACCTCCAATTAGTTCAACTGCAGCTTTACCTTTAGCTTGTGAAATCTAGCCATTTCCCAGATTTGGTTCCTGCAGCTAGACTCCTGTAATTTTGATACCGGATTCACTATTTGTTACATATTCACTGAAAACTACTGTCAGGTGGTAGCATGGTGACCTGTATGAAAATACTTGGGTCCAGTCCCTGAGGAGCAGCGTGGCATCCCAGAAGCTGTCACCGCATTTGAATGTGCTTGGCCCGTTTCCAGTTTTCATAGTCAAGACGAGGAGCAAACATGAGGCAAACGAGCTCCTTTCTGGCTGCTGGAGGTAGCTGTTCTGTAAGAGCGCCGTGCTGTTGTCGTGGCACAGATCATCCTGTCGTCCTGGACCTGCTCCGTAGCTGGGCTTAGTTAATTTTCTGCTGGTTGCTAAACTAATACTTTTTATCACATGGATTTGTTTTTATGAGCTGCTCACCGTTGTGCTTCCATCTGTTTTTAGTCCACAAAACTAAAGAGCTCTTGGTGTTACTGCTGTGGTAGGCTGCTGAGTGGGTTTTGCTGAAGCCCAGGGGGGTGTTGGCAGCCGGAGGGAAGGAACCATTCCAATGTTACTGTTTCACTTTGTTTTTCAGGTTAGGCTGTTGAGATAAAAAGCGGTGGACATTCGTGACTGAATGGAATCTCTCCCACTGTGCAGCCATGCCCCCTCTCGACGTGCCTGCCAATGCCAGCACTTCCTTCATAAATTCTTACATCACACTCAAGACTGATGACATCACAGAATCTGACCAAGGAGTCTGAACCAGCTGTTTCCATGGACACAATCTCCATAGTGACAGTGGGAAGGGGAGGGGGAAAAAGGAAACAGGTGGGGGGAATTAAAGAGGGAGGGATAAATATATATATATATAAAGATCTATTTTTTAGTCTTGAAAGACTTTGTTTTAAATGAAAGGTGCGCTATATCCCTTTTGATGCTTTTGATTAAAATTAACAAAAACCCATATAAATTAAAAAAGAAAACTGTAGCTAAAGTAAATATTAAATCCAAAATCAAAGCAAGGCTCGTGGAGCCTAACACTTTGTGGGAAAGAATAGCGGAACTGGGAGTACTCCAGACGGGACTTGTCTCCCTTCCTCTTGCTTTCTTTCTCACAACATCCAAGGAAGTTCAATTTTAAAAGGCAAATAAAAACATGATAAATTGTTCGTAGGGTGTGGGAGGAAGGCTTGGATGGTTGCAGGTGATGGGGTGTCAGTACTTGTGTATGCGGGGTAGGGAGGTTATTGTTTTTGAGAAACACCGTATATTAATAGTGGAAGTTTGAAAAACATCTGAAGACTCTCAGGTCATGAGACTCATGAAGTAAGAGGTAGCTGCTGCTTGCTAGATCCCGTGTACCTTGTTTGTGTGGGAATGTCTGTACTGTGCAGGGTTGCCCTCTGTGGCAATGACATGCACCCCCAAACCATTCCAAGAAGCTGCCTTCAGTTTTGAAGGTAGGTGAGAGGAAGATACGGTTTACCTGCCAGATGGGGGAACTGGAAAGGAGGTCTGAATGTTGGTGGAGTCAATGTGTCTTCAAACTGATCAGGAAAATCCACTTAGCCCTTTTTTTTGTTTTATGTTTTGCTTTTCCTAAGGAAGGAAGAGGGAATGTCAGTGTAACAGCCTACACTATATGGTTATTTGGGGTGGGGTTTTTTTGTAAATTATGTAATTTTAAAACATTTGGGTTTAAGGAACAACAACAAATTAATTTTTTTCTTGTTAAGGCCTTAAGAAAGGGGTTAGTGCATCTTTCAGGGGTCACTCTGCCATGGGAATAAAATAGCTGTTTCACAAACAGTTTTATATAAAAAAAGCTTAAAAAAACCAAAAAAACTAATAAACTTCATTTTAACCTTGTCTCCTTTTTGTTTTGTGCGAACTTGATTTGTTTAAAAGGACAGAGAGACAGTACTATCTGCTGCTTTTTGGTTTCTTTGCCTTTATCAGTTCTGCCTTCAGTGATGACCTTCTGAACTGGCCCAGCAAGAGGAAGACCACAAAAGCTTTTAAAAATTGAAGCTTAGAATTTGTTTGATGTTCAGAGATAACGAGCCAATGACTGGATGAATTTTCTGTTCGTGTGAGTTGGTGGTATTTCACCAGGTCACCGACTTCTTTCACTCATAGGATGGTAGCATATCCTAGCGATATCAAACAGCGTGGTGTTTACTGGGAAGTCACTAGAGATAGGGATCTAACCAGCATGACTTGGATAAAAAAACGGGGTTGATACTGTGGGGAGGGAAGAACTATTTTAAAAAGTTATGTACTGGATGCTTGCTCAACTACTCGCATTTTGGAGTATTCAGCACATAAAAAATAAAATCTATGATAGCTCATATTAAGATATCTATTTTAACTCTATTTTTAAAAGATCGATTTAAAGATTTGGGAGATAATTTGGCAGTTATTTATTTCTAGAAGTTGCTACTCTCACTGATAAGTATTTGGAAAGAAAGGGCAGTCTTCTGCTTACTCCTTTCCCAGTAGCAGCTACTAAAGTTAGTACGTCCTTCTACATTAAGAAATAGACCTGTTGTGATAAATGTCACTAATGTGTCCTGAATTGGTGCTGAAAATATTTAACTGCTGGTGTAGTCAGAAAAAAAAATCATTTTTAGCATAGTTAATGTGATTGAGTAAATGACTTCTTTTCAACTGAATAAAAATTGTTTTTTTTTTTTTCCTAGTGTCTGTTCTATTCTAACTGTTCTGGAAAAAAAAAAAAAGGACTTACTGCACTGATTTATGTTGGTGAAGAATCAGCTTTGTAGTACTATGACAGCAGAGGACTGTGTGGTGAAACTGCTGAATTTGATACTTTTGGCTCTTTGGGGTGGTGTCACACAGCAGAGGGAGAAGGGTTTTGGGTAGCTGGGAGGGAGTCTTGGGGGTTTCCCTTGTTGGGTGCTCGTGGCAATTGTTGTGGAGATGCAATAGCTCCTCATGCACCATGGCTGGAAAGTAGTGGGAGTCATGTAGAGCAAATAAATAAATGGTACCACACTTCACACCATGAGGAATATTTCTCAGTGGGGAGTGCTGCGAACCCTTCACATCAGCTGCTGCTTAGCCCCTTGTTGGCGCTGTTGTCGGAGGTAAGGGGTGTGCTCTCCACTAGAGAGAGGTCTTGTGAGTTGGTCATCTTTGTTGGTCAAGTCTTTACAGAAACCAGAGCTACCATGATTCTCTAAAACCAAGCCAGGAGGAATCTAAAACAGCGCGCTAATGGCTTCTTGGGAGAACCTGGAAATGATCCGAAGCAGTCATAAAATCCAGTTGGAAATAAAAATTCCTTTTGACTCAGAAGATATAAAGTGCTTGAGTGGATTCTGAAAGCTGTTGTACAAAACGGTTACCAGCTCCCTCCTGCAAAAGCAATTAACAGCTTGATATCACGGATACCCCAAGAAAGAAAAGGTTTGGAAATCTTGACTAATTTAGAATTTGTGGAGCAGAAATGACCCGCAGCAGAACATTCAAACATGGAGATTGTGTCAAGAAGAAAATGAGTCGCCTGCCAACCACTTAGGAATTACCTGTTTGGATGAGGAGTGAAGTAATGAGAGTTTGGATAAGGCAGCTCATTTTCAAAGTGTTTCTCCACACTGTCTCACTCCTATCAGGATCTCTGAAAGGAAAGAGACTTACACCTGCTTCCCAGGAAATGTATGTGATGGTTTAACAGCGTTTCCGCAGTGCGTGGTTGCCATTTAAAAAGGAAGCTGCAACAACTAACCTGAGTGAGTCAACACTGCCGAACAAGGTCAAAGAAAAAGATTACTTTTTTCCATAAAGGATGTGCGATGGATTCAACGTGCAAAGGACGTCTATCGGTATGAGTTGGTCAGTGTTCAGCTGGAAATGAGGTTAAAGGAACTCCTCCCGCAGGAACTGATGGAGGCCCTGGGATATATACAGCAAGCATATCTCGATACCAGGAGCTGCTGATTGATATATTAATCATGGACTTCTGTTGCATGTGAAATCTGCACTTGGAAATCCAAGGCATAGACTACTGTGGAGTTTATAGCAAGATCGTGCAGCACAGGAGAAAGCAGTCTCAGCTGCCACTGCAGAAGGTGGTGGCCGTCCTCGCTAATCTGTGTATCACACAGGTATGAGTGGGGAGTTTACCTGGGTTTGTGGTGGTCTTCAACCTTTTGAATCGGTCTTAGAACAAGACAAACTGATGATGTGTAACAGTATGGAAATAAAAAAAAAACAAACAACACGTTAAGGGGTTCAGGGCAGAGCATCTGCCAAAGAATGTTGTACATCTAGTTCAGGGAGTCCAGCTAATGCCAAGCTAAAGAAAAGCATTTTTGCTGGGACATGCATTAAAAAAAAAAAGTAGTTTCTCAAGCTACGGGCAATTAGATGACAGCTCCGGTATTTTGACTGTTTAATGTGCAGTATGAACTATAATGTACATACGAACACACGTGAGGAAAGATAATACCTTTAATTAAACTGGCACAGTTACAGGGAGAACATTTTGGGACTGAGTTGGATATAAACTTTCTAAATTATCACGCCTAATAACAGTGTTATTACATCAGGAATTACCTATGCTGTCTTGAGTGCAGTAGTTGTCCTGGATGTGGTAGAAATACTTAGTAGAGGGACACAGAATCACTTTGCCTGACCTAGTCTCTGGCTTATCAGAATGACTGGAAGAAGCAGTCCTGTATCTAAAAATGTTGAAAATTGAGTTTAAATATCAGACTTTTGGAAGCGGACGGGGATATCTGGATGGTTGAGGATGAATAAATCATCACTGGTCTGGATTTTTTTTTTTTGGTGATTAGAAGTTGCGTGAAAAAGAACAGAAAGGGGACAGGTAATCCAGGTTCAGTTACAGATCCAGAAAACACAAAGATATGGCAAGTATCTTGTGGCTCTACTGACTTCCCTATGAGAAGTTGAAAGTGTAGTTACAATATTTTGGGTTAGAAATCTCTGTTGTGAAACAGGATGAGATTCTTGTTTGGCTGTGGAATATTTCTAACACACGTTTGGTTTTGTTGGGTTTTTTGGTTTGGTTTTGGTTAGTTTGTTTGTTTTTTAAGATGGAGCTACTGCAGTCTGTTGCAAGTCAGAGAATTTAGTCGATAAAGGTAGAGGGCAAAAGCAATTATTAGAAAATTGTGGGAGACCAGTAACTCTCCAGTACTTTCTCTATGGCATTGCTGCATGCTGAAGAAAGTGGTTAATGCACATCACTGAAAAATCACCTCCATGTGGGTACCCTGCGCTATCAGCTCCCAAACTGACCTGTGCTATTCAACTAGAAATTATGTAAAGCTGTAAAGGAAAGAATGAGGTTTTCCTTACAGCGTAAATGTCAGTGAAATAGTTGCTGTCATCATCTCTAGACAGTAGCGTGTAATTCTTTTGCTCTGCCTGTACTGTTGGTTAGATCCAAAAGGTTGACTCTCTCATCCAGCTGAAAAGTGAACAGGGTGCTGCTTACAGAGTCTTTTTGTAGGATTTAATTTCTTAAGTGGGACCCATATCCTAGTGAGTACCTCTACAGAAGGGAGCCTGAATTAGAGGGAAAGCATTGCTTGTTTGCTGGTTTCTTTCAAGGGGCTATATTGAGAGCCAAGGTTGCTTCCCTTTCCTCCTTGTCCTCCAGAGGTTTCTTGTAATTTATTGCTTAACTCAGTTTTAATGCTATGGTTTCAGGTTTTTGACCTTACCTGGCTAGCTTTAGAAATGCTGATACTTCTTAGTAGCCCCAGAGAGAGTTATTTCCCATCCAAATAATTTGAAAAATACTCTTAGCTCATAGCAAACCTCCTGTGAAGGAAATCTTCCACTCTAGCTGGGGATCAGGATTCAGACTGACTGTGTACTCTTCTATGTGATAAAACTTGCATGTGCATAGCATACTACTGAACATGAACATATCCAGGTCATCTGCAAATACTCCCTGCATTACATTAGTGGCTTCTGGGTTGTAGCTAGACCTGCTGACCACCAAACTTGGAGGTCACAGTGGGTTTGGAGGCCAGTGCGTGCTCCCTGGCTTTGAGGTATATCGTGACAATGGTTTTCTGATTTTTATTGAAATTATTTGTTTTCAGTGCTGCATCTGTCAGTGGGAGCAGCAAAAAACGGCAGAGAAATTTTCAGGGAAGGAGCTGGGAGGTGCTCTCCATTTATACTAAAGATAAGTATGGCGTGGTAAAGATAAGTCTGCATTGTATAGCAAGAGTCCCGCGAGCTGAAGCCAATTTATCAGAGAGACGTCACTACATCTAATGGTTTTATTATAAAGGGAAAAGTCCATACATTTTATAGCATTTGCATTAGGAAAACTTAATTGGACTTCCACCTGAGTTCCTGCACCTGAGCTGTGTTTCCCTCTCAGAAGAGAGGTGGAGTCATTAGATTCTTACAAATTGTAGATTATTTTGAGGACGCTATTTTGGGGACTGTTGGAATTACCATAAATAGATATTCGACTTGGATTATGGGGCATAACAGTATCTACTTCTTCACGTGCACTTTTTAATCAGCTAGTGTCAAAGTACCTTATGAGTAAGACAAATCTCACTGTTCCCATTTGTAGCTGGAAGAAATAGAGAAAAGCAGACAAATTATTGTTCAGCGTCATATGATGA